AAAGGTGTTTGGCACACTTGCCTTCATTGCTTAGTCCTTTGAGTATAGAAGTTGGGACATCGTGTTGAGGTTGTACAGGACATTGGTGAGGTCTCTTCTGGAGTCCTGTGTCCAATTCTGGTCGCCCAGTTATGGGAAGGATATTATTAAGCTGGAAAGGGTTCAGAGGAGATTTACCAGGATGTTGCTGGGTATGGAAAGTTTGAGTTGTAAAGAAAGGCTGGATAGGCTGGGACTTTCTTTACTGGAGTGTAGCAGGTTGAGGGGCGACCTTATAGAAGTTTATAAAACAATGAGGGGTATAGATAGGGTTAGTGATTGTTGTCTTTTCCCTAGGATGGGGGATTTCAAGACTAGGGGGCATATTTTTAAGGTGAGAGGAGGGAGATTTAAAAAAGGCATGGGGGGGCAAATATTTTACACAGAGTGGAATGAACGTGTGGAATGAACTTCCTGGTGAAGTGGTGGATGTGGGTATCGTTACAACGTTTAAAAGACATTTGGATAAGTACGTGAATAGGAAAGGTTTGGAGGGATATGGGCCAGAAGCAGTCAGGTGGGACAGTTTAGTTTGGGATAACGGCCAGCATGGACTGGTTGGACCGAAGGGTCTGTTTCCGTGCCGTGTGACTCTATGACTTTCCAATAACCTCATCTCAGCTAAGGTTTCCCTGCTTATTTGTTGACTGACCGACACTGGCTTCTGGTCCTACAACACCTCAATTTTAACATTCTCTTCGCTGTTTAGAGATCCCTCCTTGGTCTCATGCCAACCCCCTCCCACATCTGTAACCTCCTCTACCCATTGAAGTCCACAGCACAGGATAAAGACCCTTCGCTCCATCAAATCTGCGCCAGTCCAAAACAGCCACCTAACTGTTCTAATCCCATTTTCCAGCGTTTGGCCTTGCACTGCAATTCCTCTGATGTCTGGGATCTTTGCACTGGCCCCAGTTCGCACTTCCCCACTTTTAATGGTTTCACCATTGGTGCCCAAACCTGGGTCTCAGTTTCTGAAATTGATTTCCTAAACATTTGCTTTTGTCGAGTCTTTTAAATTGCTGCTTAAAAGCCTGTATCTTCGTTCAAGCGTCTGTCCATCCTGTGCTTATGTCGCATGGAGTTCAGTGTCAAATTTTAATTTTGCCTGTGTTTTCTATCACTGGTCTTTGTTCATTTCTCCTCTGAATCCTTCTCAGTAGAAATGGTTCAGCATGCAGCCTACTGCCCCCTAGTGTTTCCCCTTCTCCCCTGTCCGAGTAAGAGGCCATTCTCATTACATTTGGGTGTTAGTTGGGTGATAGTTTTTGACTCAATGGCCCAAATGGTCTTTAGTCTGTGCTGCAGACCTCTATAACTCCACTGGGTGTGTATTTTTAATTCACTCCTGGGACAAAAGGTATAAAATGTTAAATCTGACTGTGTAATATCCTAATGGGACATAATCACGGGACACGGTGCCATGACACATGATCTTGCCCTCCTCTTGCAAGGATGAAGTCACAGTATGATTAAGATGTTTCTTAAATATAGTTAATGTTTTCCTTACCTCAGCAGATTCTGTAAATATTCCTTAGCAACACAATGATTCCAGGAATATTACATGGTGGCAGCGAGGGAAAGAACAGTACAGAAAGGTCTCAACCATTACCTGAAAGTCTCCAGTAGGTCCCACTCACGCAGAAGTGTGACTGAATTGAGGCTGAAGACTTATAAGGTATTGCCCAAGATCCAGCCTTGTTGTGAAGCTGGGTGAGGAGCTGGCCAATATACTGATCGGTGGTCTTGCAGCTCATTTCCTTATCAGGTAAAAGCATTGACAAAAAAAAAACATGTATGAGGAAAGAATAAAAGCATCAAACCCATTTTAATCCCTACACATCGAAAACGTTGTCAATTCAATTGATGTGCCTGGAGACAAGAGCGAAGTATTGCAAATTCTACGAATGATCTGTATAGTCCTACACAGCAACTTGAAAGGAGAATGATTTAAGGATGGATTTCCTGTCAGGGCATTGAACAAAGCTTTGTCTGACCATGTGCAGTCAAGAGCTGACTCCTTTAGAATCCCTACAGCACAGGAGCAGGCCATTTGGCCTATCGAGTCTACACCACCCCTCCAAAGTGCATCCTACCCAATCCCTGTAACCCTACATTTTCCGTAGCTAACCCACCTAGCCTGCACATCCCCAGACACTATGGGGCAATCTAGCATGGCCAATGCATCTAACCTGTACATCTTTGGACTGTGGGAGGAAACTGGAGCACCCGGAAGAGACACAGGGAGAATGTGCACACACTACACAGGCAGTCGCCTGAGGGTGGAATCAAACCTGGGTACCTGGTACTATGAGGCAGCAGTGCTAACCACTGAGCCACCGTGCCTCCCATTAACAGCAGCAATTCAACAGGGCAAACAATCCGGAATCAGGAAGAAAAATTGGTCAGCGATATGAGGTGTCAGGGACAACCACCCCAAAAACAAATTGACTTAGTGACGTATAATTGGCTGGATGCCGTTTTCCTCACATTCAGCAAACAATCTCGTACACAACAAGCCACAAGAGAAGTCCTCAAAAGTTAGCAAGATCTGTGAAATGGAAGATATCAATGATGTGGAGATGCCATTTACTGGTGGCATCAAGGGACCAAGTGAATGCTATTACACTGCAGTTATCTCCGTAGAATGAAATGAGGCATGCTCTAAGTTAGTTTTGGCTCTTTCTGATACAATGTTTGGAGAAATGGTCATCACACATAAAGCTACATGGGCCAGGAGGTATTGAACTCTAAGTCATATACCAACTGAACCCAAACCTACAATATAAAGAGGGCAAAATCATTGAAATCTCCTATAAGATCCTAAACCCTAGTTTCAGTTACTGACTTAGATCCGATTTCCAGAGCAGAGAAGCTGGAAATCCGATATGAACCTAAAAACCAAAGAGCTGAATTTTCACAGCTGGTCAGAAGATGAGAAAAAGCAAAGGGAGCATATCACATCAGTCTCTGTCCTGAAATAAAGACCACTGTGCTTGTTTGCACCCAGAGACTTTAAGGACGATGGAATGGAATTGGATGGAATCAAAAACTTTTATGTGTGTGGGGAAGTGTGGGCGTTGTGGTTTAGGGGTCTGACTGTTTAATATGCTAATGATACAGTATACATCATTACAGGAACTGATGCCAATGTCACATGATCCTGTCACCTCATGGCAAGATAAAGCCATGGACAGATATCTCCAAGCGTTTCCCTCACCTTAGTGGACTCTGTGTTGCTAACAAATGTATACAACGAGACCAGGCATGCCGGTAATCCTGGCCTCAGCTGACAAACACACACACCCAACTTCCAGCAACATATACAATAGCGCCCATTATCACCCACCTGCTATCCATGATGGGGCTCTTGGGCTATAGTCCTAGCTAACATCAGATTTTCCTAGAGATGGATTTTGGAATCTCAGAACAGCAGTGGGCTTAAATGCAAGCTCTGCCACTACAGTTTATTCACATTTCCCCATTACAAGCCTATTTTGGGAACACTTACTACAAGCCTCTTCACAGAACCCCTACAGCGTGAAAGCAGGCCATTTGGGCCCATCAAGCCCTCACTGACCCCTTAAAGAGCATCCCACCCTATTCCTGTCCCTGTCACCCTGCATTTCCCATGGCTAACCCACCCAGCCTGCACATCATGGGGCAATTTAGCATGGCCAATCCACCCAAACCTGCACGTCGCTGGACTCGGGGAGGAAACTGGAGCACTCAGAGAAAACCCACACAGACACGGGGAGAATGTGCAAACTTCACACAGACAGTCTCCTGAAGGTGGAATCGACCCTGAGTCCCTGGCGCTGTGAGGCAGCAGTGCGAACCACTGAGCCACGGTGCTACCCTATATGGGCCTTGGCCGTGTCTTGTTTTCACTCATTTGTGGGATATGGGTATCCCTGACAAAACTAGTATTTGTTGCGTTATCCCTTGTCATCCTCGAGGAGGTGACACTGAGCTGTCCCCTTGAGCCCTGAGGTAAATATATATTGTTTTTTAAAATGTAGCAGCTGATCCAATGCAGTGGCTCACTCGGGCCATTTCTGAGGCAGTTAAGAGTCAACCACATCGCTGTGGGTCTGGAGTCACTTGTGGACCTGACCGGGTAAGGACAGCAGATTTCCCTTCCCTGGAGGACATTAGTGAAGCGGATGGGTTTGTAATGATGTCTAAAACGATAGCATTTAGCAATTCTGATCACCAGCATTGAGACTGGCTTTCAACTTTCTTTTTAATTCGCTTGTGGGCTGGTCTAACAACTGTTGCCCGTCCCCTAGACAAATGAACCAGATGAGTTTTTATCGTGGTTTGACGATCTTTGCTAATTAGGCTAATGTTTCCTCCCTCCACATTTATCACTAAATTGAATTTGAATTCCCCAGTTCCAAGGCTTTGTCAGCACTTTATGTCGAGTCTTTCATAACCATTGTGCAGCTTTGTGTGTATGTCCCTAAGACCATTAGAAATAGGAACAGGAATAGGAACAGGCCATTCGGCCCCTCGAAACTACTCCGCCATTCAATAGGATTATGGCTGATTGCCATTCCACTTTCCTGGCTCTTCCCTAGACTAATCAAGAATCGAACTATCTCAACCTTAAATATACGCATGGACTCTGCCCCCACGGCTCTCTGTGGCAAGGAGTTCCAAAGACTCTCAACCCTCTGAGAGAAGAAATTCCTCCTCATCTCAGTCTTAAATTGGCGCCCCTTTATTCTGAGACTGTGTCCTCTGGTTCTGGATTCTCCCATGAGGGGAGAACATCCTCTGGTCAAATAATTAGAGTCTTTGCCTCAGTATATTAAGCTGCGGGATGCGATTTGGTTACTAATTTGGCTATTGGTTGGTCATTGAATTGGAGTGGACCAAAACCCCTCAGTTTCTAGTGGAGTTACAGAGTACTTTCCACTCGTTTCCCACCCCTTTCCCCAACCCCACTCCTGCAGGATTTGGGATGGCTACCCCGGTGACCGTCAGCGGGAGAATCTTTCTGATCTTCTACGGACTGGTGGGTTGCGCTGCCACCATTCTGTTCTTCAACCTGTTCCTGGAACGGATTATCACACTGTTGGCCTACATCCTGCGCTGGTTCCACGAGAGGAGGAGGCAGCGGAGTGGCCTGTCGGGGGCCTCCGAGGGCCGGCGAGGTTCCAGCCCCTCAGGGGAGGCGGATAGCCTGGACGACTGGAAGCCCTCGGTCTACTACATCATGGCCATTCTCGGGGGAGCGTCGCTGGTCATCTCCTGCTGCGCGTCTGCCATGTACATGCCCGTCGAGGGCTGGAGCTACGCTGAGTCGCTGTACTTCTGCTTCGTCGCCTTCAGCACCATCGGGTTTGGCGACTTGGTAAGCAGCCAGAAGGCCACGTACACTAACCAAAGCCTGTACCGGGCAGGCAACTTCCTTCTCATCCTGATGGGGGTCTGCTGCCTCTACTCCCTGTTTAATGTCTCCTCCATTGTCATCAAGCAGTTCCTCAACTGGATGCTGAAGAGGATGGAGTGCCAGGGTTGCCGACGAGGCCCGATCCGGAGGAGGGCGAGGGCTCACTGCAACGCCGTTCACCCGGCTGCGGCAGCAAAGGCCAGGCCGCACGCCGTCTCCATGGAGACCGTGTGCGACAGCGACACCGATGGGCGCCGGGTGTCGGGCGAGATGATATCGGTCAAAGATTTCTTGGCCTCCAACAAGGTCTCCTTGGCCATCATGCAGAAGCAGCTCTCCGAGACCGCCAACGGAGGCCCCAGGCAGAGCCACTCCCGCTACAACGGTTTCTCGCGAGGCGTTGGTGCCCTGGCCATCATGAACAACAGGTTGGCAGAGACCAGCGTGGACAGGTAACCTCTCGGCTAGGAGGCCGTATCCGCCATCTACTCGGGCGAAGCTCTTAGATCGGTGTTGCTACTGATCCATCTACCCCTTCACCTTTGCCAGGAAAAGGCCAGAAATGGTCCCTGGTGACGCCGCAGCTGGTTGGGGGCACCGGTGCCTGGCATCAAAGGAGTGGGCGAAGGAGCTAGCCCCCCACCCCCAGGGTGCTGAGTGAAGGCCAGTCACTCCACACCACCTTAGGGTGACGGTCTCCCCAAATAAGTGCAACTGGGACCTGTACACCGTTGGTTAGCCAGAATGGCTCAGGGTGCCAACGCTGTCACCAGAGGAGGGGAAATAGCTGGGCTCTCTCTGGACAGGGCCAGCAATGGCCACTTGCATTCATCTAGTGCCTTTCCATGTGTGGTTAAACATCTCAAGGAACGCAATGTGGCACTGAGATTCCTTTCGGACAAGTGATGAGGACAAGAAAATCAAGCCGAGAGAAGCACGTTAAAGGAAGCGGTTGAGAGAGGGAGCGGTTTTGGGGAGGAGATTCCCAAATTGAGATGGTGGGACTCCGAAGGCTCAAGCACCAGTGACAGAAGGAGGTAAAATTGATGGCATGCAAAAGGCCAGAAACAGACGAACACAGAGGCCACTTCCCTGATGTAGACAGTGATCCCGAATAACCTGGAGTTCGCTTTCCTTTCTGCCAACTGCGTGAAAAGCACAAGAATCTGAAAAGTCACGTAAAAGATATGACAAGACCATGGAACGTCTCTGTAAACATTTCTATTGCTGTAAATAAATTATGTTTTTATTTGAAAATGCTCGATTAATATTGTGATATATAATTGTAGCAGTTGAAAAGTCAGCTTTTATTATCATATCAAGGGAAATATTTTCTTGTGATATTAATCTTTGATATTAATCAAAGCATAACTACTGGAAGGTACATCAAATCATAGAAAATAGGTGCAGGAGTAGGCCATTCGGCCCTTCGAGCCTTCACCACCATTCAATACAAACTGAAAGAACTGTAAATCAGGAACAAGAACAGAAGTTGCTGCAAAAGCTCAGCAGATCTGGCAGCATCTGAATTCTGAGGAAGGGTCACCAGACCCAAAATGTTGAACTCTGATTTATTTCTTCACAGATGCTGCCAGACCTGTTGAGCTTTTCCAGCAACTTCTGTTTTTTCTTCCCACCATTCAATATGATCATGCCTGATCATCTAACTCAGTCCCCTGTTCCTGCTTTCACCTCCCCCCATACCCTTTGATTCCCCTAGGAACTGTATCTAACTCCTTAAAAACATTCAATGTTTTGGCCTCAACTGCTTTCTGTGACTGAGAATTCCACAGGCTCCCCCACTCTCTGGGTGAAAACATTTCTCCTCATCTCAGTCCTACCCTGTATCCTTAGACTGTGACTCACATCCTTCCTATGTTTACCTTGTCTATTCCTTTTAGAATTTTATGAGATCTCCTGCCTCAGCCTTGTCATTCTTCTAAGCCTTGATGAACCTAGCCCTGACCGATCCATATGTCAGTCCTGCCATCCAAGGAATCAGTCTGTGTTTGTTTTTAATGCATTCATGGGATGGAGAAATCGCTGCCTGGGCCAGCATTTATTGCCCAGAGGGCAGTTAAGAGTCACCCACTTTGCTGGGGGTCTGGAGTCACATGTAGGCCAGACCAGGTAAGGATGGCAGTTTCCTTCCCTAAAGGGCATTAGTGAACCAGATGGGTTTTTAACCCCAGAACCATGGATTCATGATCATTGTTAGAATTCCAATTACACCATCTGCCATGAGCAGGATTTGAACCCAGGTCCCTGCAACATTAGCTGGGTCACTGGATTAATAGTCCAGCAATAATACCACTGGGCCATTGGCTCCCCCTGTTTGTTTTGTTATTAAATGTTTGTTTTGCTTATGAATGTTTGTTTATGTGACTGGGATTCCACCCACTAGAGGTCAGGGGAAGGGGGTTTTTTTTCCCGACAATCAGCAATAGATTCATGGTCATCATTTAGGCTCCCAATTCCAGATTTTTATTGAACTCAAATTCCACCATCTACCGTGGCAGGATTCGAACCTGGGTCCCCAGAACATTACCTGGGTGTCTGGACTAACAATACCACTAGGCCATTGCCTCCCCTGTGTAGAAAGAAAGAAATTGCATTTATATAGCACCCATCACAACCTGAAGATGTCCCAAAGCACTTTACAGCATTACAATTTGAAGAGCTGGTTGTTCTAACGACATCTGCAGCAGATTCCACAAACAGAAATGATCAGACTCTGTGATCTGATTTGATTTTTATTTGAGAGATGATTGTTGGTCAGGTCTCTGGGGGTTTTTGACCCTCTTTTTAAACCCACGCTGTGGTGATGGAGCAGTCATAATGGAGAAGGAACCTCCTTGAAGAGCAATAGAAGTAGGATTTTGCTGCTACTGTGTTCAAATTTGTTTCCTTCAAATGACCAGACTGATAGGAATAGACAGTAAAGTCACCACAATCCTACCAGGCCAAGGGCTACTGTCTATTAGAGAGACATGTGACTGGTAAAGGTTTAACCACCTCAGGTGAGGGCAGAGATTGAGAAGAAGAATTGTCACAGAACCTCTACAGTATAGAAACAGGCCATTTAGACCATCAAGTCCACACTGACCCTCCAAAGAGCATCTCTCCCAATCTCTGTAACCCTGCATTTCCCACGACTAGCCCACACATACCTGGACATTACAGCATGGCTAATCCACCCTAACCTGCACATCTTTGGACTGTGGGAGGAAACCGGAGCAAACCCACGCAGACACGGGGAGAATGTGCAAACTCCACACAGACAGTCACCTGAGGGTGGAATTGAACCCAGGTCCCTGGCGCCGTGAGGCAGCAGTGCTAACCACTGAGCCACCCAAATCCCTTGCAGTAAGCTCGGTTGGAATGGGAATTGAACCCACACTGTTGGCATTACGTCTGTACATAGACAGCACAGGCGTGCCAGCTCATTACACTGCATGAGCTGTGTATTTTGTTTATTGTGTGTCAGCTACCGGTAACAGCTTGTATTGATAGAATAGAAAGCTGGAGAGGGTTCGGAAAAGATTTACCAGGATGTTACTGAGACTGGAGGGTTTGAGTTATATGGAGAAGCTGGATAAGCTGGGACTGTTTTCCCCTGGAGTGTAGGAGGTTAAGGGGTGACCTTATAGAGGTTTATACAATCATAAGGGCTATAGATAAGGTGAATGGAAGATGTCTTTTTCCGAGGGTGGGGCATTTCAAGACTAGGAGGCATATTTTTAAGGTGCGAGGAGAAAGATTTGAAAAAGACATGAAGAACAACTTTCTTACACAGAGAGTAGTTTGTGCGTGGAATGAGCTTCCAGAGGAAGTGGTGGATGTGGGCACAGTTACAATGTTTAAAAGACATTTGGATAAGTACATGGATAGGGAAAGGTTTGGAGGGATATGAGCGAGGAGCAGGCAGGTGGGACTAGTTTAGTTTGGGATTATGGTTAGCATGGACTGGTTGGACCGAAGGGTCTGTTTCCGTGCCGTGTGACTCTATGACTTTGAGGATGATCTGATGTTAGGTTGCATTCTTTCAGGATCCTTCGTGCCTGGTCTGAAGTCCATATGATGTAATCTCAGTGGGTGGTGCTTATGGCACTCAGTGTTAACCCTTTCCAGTCACATTTGTATTCTCAGGCATGTACCAATGGAGCTAGTAATTAAAGATAAAAGGTAGTTAATCCATTTCAGTTGGTGTTAAGATGAGGAATTGAACATATCTTGATGTAAATTGTAACTCTAAAACGGTTGGAGCTTCTTGACCTTGGACTGTTTTCTGTGTAAACACAGACAGAAGTGCTGTAATCTTCAGCAATCACTCCAGAGTGAGATTGTTGGTATTTTAAATGGAAACAGAGGTACTTTGATGTGAATCAGAGATCCTGGTTGTGGGGTCGGGGGGTGCTGTATATTGTAAATTGCCCTGAGTTTGAGGAGGTAGGGAGTTACACATGTCACACCAAGGAGTTGAGTGGACATCGAGGTGAACAGGCCCATTGCTCTCAGAAGTTTAGAAGGATGAGAGGTGATTTGATTTGAACCCCATAAGATTCTTTGAAAGCCTGACCAGCAGAACTGTTACAGGGTTCCCTGGGCTGAAGAGCAAACTGGTGATAAACTCTGGATAAGGGATCAGCTATTTAGGACTGAGGCGAGGGGAGATTTCTTCATTTATGTGAGGGAGATTGATGGATTCCAGAATGCTAAGGGAATAAATGAATGAGGAAGTAGAATGGGAACATGGCGTTGATGTTGGAGACATCTTGTTGAATGATGGTATGGGCTTATGCAACTTTAACAACTCCTGCTCCAGATGAAACAGTTCAGTAGCCCTCTGGCTTATTAGTCCAGCGACATTAGTCCACCATCTTTCCCAAAACAATGACAGAAAAATAATACAGTGCGAATACGATGGGTGATCGAAAGCTTGGTTCTGACAGTAGGTCTTAAACGTAGAACATAGAACAGTACAGCACAGTACAGGCCCTTCGGCCCACAATGTTGCGCCGACCTATTATCCTACTAAGATCAAACTACCCTGAATACCCTACATTTTACTATCCTCCATGTGCCTATCCAATAGTCGCTTAAAAGTCTCTAAAGTATCTGACTCCACTACCACTGCTGGCAGCGCATTCCACGCACCCACCACTCTCCGTGTGAAGAACCTACCTCTGACATCTCCCCTATACCTTCCTCCAATCACCTTAAAATTACGCCCCTTAAGGAATGGCTTAAAGAATTAGAGAGAGAGAGAAGAGATGATGGCAGGGATTCTGTAACGGTTGAGGGATGAGAATCAAAAATAAACAAGATCTGGGGTTTGAAGGGGGTAGAGGCCTTGTGGGAGGGTCAGGCTGGATTTGGTTAGGGGTTTAGAAGGTGCTGTCAAAGGAGCCTGGGTGAGTTGCTGCAGTGTTTCTTGTAGATGTTACTCATTACTGCCTTGATCTCTAAGATCGTCACTCTCACCTTACCTGTTGAGTTTGGCTCCTCTATCCCAATTGTAATGAGATCACAGGTTGAGTGACTTTAGTAGAACCCCAATTGAACATCAGTGAGAATCATAGAATCCCCACAGTATGGAAGCAGGCCATTCAGCCCACACTGACCCTCTGAAGAGGATCATAGGTTGGGTTAGCCATGGACAATGCAAGGTTACAGGGATCAGGTGGGGTGTGGGTCCCCATCTGATTCCTGTAACCCTGCACTTGCCATGGCTAATCCACCCAGCCTGCACACTATGGGACAATTTAGCATGGCAAATCCACTCTAACCTGCAAATCTTTGGGCTGTGGGGCAGGGGGAAAGCCAAAGCACCTGGAGGAAGCCCATGCAAACATAGGGAGAACATGCAAACTCTGCACAGTCACCCGAGGGTGGGATTGAACCTGGGTCCCCGGCATGGTAACACTGCAGTGCTAACCACTGAGCCAATGCACTGCCCACAAATATTGTTATCGAGTAAATTCTACTTGATAGTTTGATAAGTGTCAACAATATCATCCAATGCCATGCTGATGAGCGAGAGTCGACTGATAGGGCAATAATTGCCCGAATCGGATTTCTCCTGCTTTGTATGGACATGACATTTGTCCATGTAGCCAGGTAGATGCCAATATTGCAGCTGGATAGCCTTTTGTAAGGTACTATGGGCCAAATGGCCTCTTTCTGGGCTTTGTGATTC